CGAAGCAAACCAACGTGCAAAAACGAAAAAAAGAAGGAAAAAAAAGCAACATGCGGAATAGGTGGATGAGATCTAGCGTTGATGATAGTAGCAGCAGAGAACATGGAGGAGTGCCAAGCGGCTCTACCATCGCTGCAAAGTAAGCAAAGAGCGAGAGTGAGTGAACTATGGCAGTCTAGTCTAGGAATTGACTTGATTCCGAAGCCTACTATTGCGGGTTCGCTCTTGATACAAACCTAAAGGAGGGAAGTAACTCCAAGCCTACAATATATATTGCAAGCCTTTGATGGGTAGTATATTGTGGATCTGCTACCGCTGACACACGCCATATTGCACTACATCTTTCATCATTCATAGAGCTATGTATAGTTAAGTTATTAAACATATATAAAACAAATGTGATACCTTATTGACACATGAAATATGCTTTTATAAATTTTTTCATCTGTAAACTTTTTATAGAATAAAAACTATTTTATTAATTTATATTTTTTAAAAAAATAATTATAATTATAATTTCTAAACCAACATAAAACTAAAATTTTAATGATTCTATTGTGATATTTAAACAAAATTTATATATTTTTTCATTGATTTAAATAAAAATTAAAAAAATCATGAAAATTCTCTTCTATTGTAGCATTATTATTTGTATTCTTGTTGAAACATAATTACATTTCAATAATTCACTTTTTAAACTAAGTTTCTACTAAAATCAAATCAAAATTTAAAACTATTTTAATTAATCAACATATGCATATTTTCATGTGTGAAACATCATAATATATAACTAATTTAAAAAAAAAATTAAAGCTCAATGAAAAATTTAACAATATATAAAAGCATAGAATACATCATTAGAAAAATACATATAGTATTTTCTGAAGATTTTTCAAATATTCTAAAATATTTATAACACACTGTGTACATTAAGTCAACACATTCAATGTGCCATGGATTGATAGTACATTTCACTACAGTAGACCCTCTATAATCTTATCAAGTTGGGACCGACCCTTTTTGATAAGTTTATATAGGTTATAAGTTTCTAGAGTTTATTAAAATTGATTCATTAAATTTTGCTTGATTGGTCTTAGAACCATCCGGAAGGTTGCAGAAAGGTATGGAATGTTAGAAAGGTTACGGCAAGGAATGCAAGACCTCGAAAAGACATAGAAGTTGTTTGATACCCAGGTTCCGTGTGTATTGGCTGTGATATTGTAATGGGGTGTGTAGGGCACTGTATCCTGGCGTACTGTATACAGTTGGACTATGTAGAAGAAAAGTTCTCAAAATGTAAACAACTTAACCCAGGAAAATCCCTAACCCACGTCAGATACTTAAGCAGCCAACAAACAAATGTGAACAAAAGCTTAGGCAGACAACCATTACAAGTTTCTTTAGTCGATCATAGTCGTACAAATGTAGCTCGGAAAGCACATCAATCTGAATATAAGTTTATAAAAAATTTGGGGCAGCCAAAAATTGATAAGTTATAAGATTATAAATTTTTGGCCTGGTCCCATGCCGGGATCGCACAATTTGATAAATTTTTTGAGGTTATAAATTTATGGAGTATAAATTTATAGAGGTTTTACTGAATAATCAAGAATAATCAATTCAAAATAAATAGAAATGACAGTTTTGAAATCACACTCACTATCAATTAACTAACATCTTTGCATCAAATTGTGTACAAAATTTTGCAGTTAGATTTATATGATGTTTAACATAAAAATCAAGCATTGAAACATGTTTTTTTGAAATTATCATGTTAATAATATCTTCAATTATAACAGTAGTCAAGCACACACCATTTGAATACAGTTTATGTAAATATTACATCCAGCATAAATCAATCCTAACATGACACATGTCATATAAAATTTGCATTATTATGAGTTGAACAAATAATTTGGGATGATAAACTACCAGATGAGTCATTTTGATCAAAGTTTATATTAGATGAGTATTTTGACTTTTGAGTCACGATCATAACCATGTCTCAATTCTTTTCATTACTTCTCTAATTTTATATGTAATAAAGATTTTTAAAATATCAACAAAATAATTTCGCAATTTTCAAAATGTTAGTGAAATAAATGCTTTCATCTTAAAAACTTATACTTTTTTCATTATTTTAATTATTTTAAAAAAATACTACTCTTTTAGATTATCAAATTTTGAAATCTTTGTCATCTAATTCAACAAAAAAAATTATTTAATGTAATTATTATTCTTGTAAAAAATGTTTGATTTTGAACTGTGGAAATCTGTCATTATTATTTGTAGTTATCAAACATATAATTTCATTTAAAATTAACTGTTGAAATTATATGTTTGAAAATAAAACCTATTGTGTATTTCAATTATTTTAAATGTTTTTGTTGCAAAAAGCAATGAAAATATTTCACAAACATGCATGGCATAAACCATAACAACAATTTTTATAATTCAGCCAAAAAATATATTCATTGCAAAATTAATAAACTTGTTAAAATCTATTTTATTTTTAAAAATAATACTATGTAGATCAACAACAAAAATGATGAAATTGTCACCTTATAAGTCAAAGATGTAATTTAAAAATTTCCAAAATTTATATTATGACACTACAAAACACGTTTTGAATAATAATCCTTTAAGAATTAATAATGATTATAACTAGCACATTAAACTTGTAATTTATTTATAGTCAGCATTACTTTGTTTCACATACTCTCCTAATCTTGATAGAAGCATCACATCATTGCTCAATCTTCATCATGCAATACTCTCTATTGTTTTGCACATTGCGATTCTGCACTAATATTATTCAATCAAACTTTGATAGCATTTGTTATTGGAATAAATGATAATAAGCATTCAACTACAAATATTACATTCACAGAAAGGAAAAAAAGTATATTTTATTAAATATTTGTTTATTTTGTTGAAAACTATTACCTTTGTTATTATAAATCAATTATTATACTAATCTCTATAAGTATAATCAAATTTACTATAATTAATTAATCAAAACATGCATTTACTTCTAACACAATTAGATTTATAACATGATATGTATTTCCTTTATTTTCATACAAAAATGAATTTTTGTATGAAAAATAAATACATATCAATATATATATTCAAATAAATAGTAAGAGATTTAAATTCATTTAATACAATACAAAATAATCTACAAGCAAAAATACTTGAAGAAATAAAATGATATCACAAGATTAAAGATTTTGATGAATAAATTGGATTGAAATTTCGAAATTTCAAAAAACGATAGTCTATCCAAAAAAACCTTTTATCCAAAAGAAATCTTATATAACAATGAAAATTCAAGTATTTAACATGTATTTGATTTAAAATTAGATCATGGTACATGGTTTTTTCTAGAATGAAAAGACACATGAAAAATGTCTTATTGTTTCAATTTTTTTTAAAATGTGTTGATATGTATTGAGATAAAATCTGTTCAATTGAAATTTTAAGTTCAAGAAACAAACAATTTTTTGAATACAATTCCAAGAGTTGAAATCTTACATAGACATTATTTAAGGTATAAAATTTCAATATCCTATTTTTTTAACATCTTCTTTTCACATTTTAACTCGTTAATTTGGGCATATAATTATCAAAATATTTAAGATTAGAGGTATTGTAATAAATTAAATAAAAATAAAAACAAAAATGGGGAAAACATTTAAATGTTTCAAGAGGATGGTGTGAGTACATTGGAATAATTCTGGGTTAGTTTGCATCGGACATTGTTCTGAGGCGGAAGATGTTTACACTCAAGATGTTTTGATCTACATCACGATAAATTTGACTGAATGAGGGGTGCTTTATAGTGAGTGAATACCAAATCACTCACTACAATAAATAACATGGTATATATACACCGTTTCTAAGGACTGGATAGAAAGATCACTCCGTCAAATGACTTGCTTGGAAAAACATAATATGAATGTCTCAGTTTTGAAGGTATATCTAAGATCATTCATCTTGTGCTACTGTACTTTGAAATATGGATTACTGAATAAGAAGGTTTAAAAGACGTAAGTGTATTCAAGCAAGTCTTTAAAGTCTTTCTATCTGTCAAGAGTCTACTTGACACTGAAGAAATCTGGGCTCTGCTGAAATTAATAGGATCTACTAGTTGCTCTTATGATCAAATTTAAAGATTTCAAATTTTCAAACGTTATTGTGAACGATTGTCTTCATACAACCAATTACACATCTGTCTTGGGCAGAAAACTCTCCTATGGACAGGATTCTTGTGATTCTACCCGTTTCTTTGTTTGCGATGTGTCATATGTTACATGGAATTGGGCATCTTGACTTGACCACATTAACAAATAAGCCCAAGTTCATCTCAATAATAAATTGTAAGCACAAGTCCATCTCAATAAGATTGTTCTTCGTTTCTTGTTCGATTCACTGAAAATCACTGTCCAATATCTTTTAAAAAACCCGATCCACGGTTAATTCCGCCGGGAAGGAGGTAGAGGTAAAAAATATGGGTTTAGACTTTGTGTCATTTTCGTGCTTCACTATACTGTGATGTAATATCGGTGTGATTCCATAAACATAAAAATGTGAAGTGTACACATCGTTAGTCAAGATCATTAGATCTACATCATGGTTAGACTCAAACGAATGGAATTGCTAAATAGCGAGTGAAAAGAAAATCACTAGACACATGGCATGGTATCTATTTGAAAATTTCAGAAGACAAAAAAGATAAATCACTTTGTCAACTGGAATGCCTGGAAAAACAGAATATGATTGTCCTAGTTGTAGATATATCTAAGACCATTCACCTTGGGCTACTGTACTTCGAAGAATGGGTTACTGGGAGAGAAGTTGAAAAGACGTAAGTGTTTTTTTGCAATACTTGCTTACTTTCAAGTTCTGGTCCACGTGCTGCGAACTCGGAAAGCAAGGGCCTCGGTGACAGGTCAGTTCCGGCTAGGTTCAGTAACGTGCAAGGAGAGTAGCCTGGCGAGAGTGTGCTGCCTGGTCTTGGCTCTCCTGCTGCCTCCTATCCTCCCCTCGTCTTCCTCTCTTCCGACAGAGGAAGACGAGATCGAGCGAGCGAGCGACGAGAAAGAGAGAGTTAGGTTATGGAGGCTGTCGAGGGAGAGTCCGATCCACCGCATCCCGGAGTGAAAGGCACATCGCATGATTTAGGGAGATTTGCAGTTCATCGGGGAAGACTTGAATCAGTCGGCGTCGAAGGCGACGAAAATCGTATAGAATGGTTTGGAGATCGAGGAACGGGCAGAGAAGCGCGCCTGAAGGCGCAGAGTTTTCCGTGCATGGCCATCGATGGTGGTAAGGGCTTTGTCACCCCGTGCTCACCACGAGGTCGCACTTGCGCCGAGAGAGAAGTTTGCAGCGGCTTCTCCTTCTGATAGGGGAGCCAGTGGTAGTACCAGGGCTGTTGCTGGTTTACCGCAGCACGGTCCCGACGGCGGCACCATGACGGTGGTGAGCACAGCGAGCGTGTTGCTGGCCATGCCTCGAGAGCAGCATCCTGTACTGAAGCTGCATGCTCTTAAAAATCTCAATGCCCTCGTGGATCATTTCTTGCCTGAAGTGTCGACAAACATCACTTGAGAACTGGCCGAATTGGTAGCATCGAAGGTTAGTGATCAAGTCGGGAGCAATAACTTATTATGCTTGATTACTGAGCTGCGAGCAATTTGTTGAAGGTTTCATGAAATCTAGGTCAAATGGAGTGGATGCATTGCTAGGAATTTTCTTTGCTTTGGGTTCATAAACGGCACTAAGAGGCCTGGTTTGTGTGCTAGTGCAGGTTTGTTTATTACCGTGGTGAGTTGAATGACTCTCTTATTTCTGCGTTAGGCGCGGGACCGTTGTCTGACGTCACTGAGAGTCGGAATATGTGCAGATCTTGGTTGGTGAGTTTCTGTTATGTCGGTCCATCCTACATATCATTTACTTGTGGAATACGTTTCGGTATGATTCGAAACTTGAATGGTCTTCGTTATTGTGAACTGGCACACACAGATGTTAAAATGGTCTCACTTGTTGCAAGAAAAAGCGAACGAAGTCGAATTTTCGCGAGCATTTATGGGCTGTTATACTCGTAGTACTACTTTGCAAGGAATGGAAGAAGTCCATGGTTGTCACTTAGCAAAGCTCGGAGTAATCGTCGTGGTGGATTACGCACGATCACGTTAATCGAACTGATGTCGCTACCGTCAGTGTGAAATTTTATCCTGTGCTCACGAGCCTGGGAAGAAAACATGGAACCGAGTTTGTTTTTTTTTCAATAATCTTACCTTTGATCTAGAGTATTTAAAGGTCTGAAGCAGAGTATGGGTAATTTGTGAACTAGAGTCCCGTTGTTCTTCAGAGGGTTTGACTTGAAAGTTTGGGTTAGGAGGTAGTATCATTCTTACCCTCCTTGTCGGTCAAGAGTCAAGAGATCACCCTCCTCTAAGAAGGTAGAGGACCTGGCTACTCTTTACGTTCAACATTATGCCATTCAAATTGGAGTTTGTCATCTCTTAGGAGCTTAGACCGGGACTTTTAGAGTTTAAGCAGACATGTCGAGCCGGTGATATTTTTCGTTAGTGCGAGAGGTTTTTTGCGTAGGGTTGAGCTGTTATTTTTACTTTCTTCGACCAGTCGTGTGTAATATATCCGAACTTCGTTTGTAATATATCCGAATGATGTTGCAGTCTTGTTTCGTGGGAGGAAAGCCAAGTGCACCGACGAATACATCTCTTTGAGCGTGAAAGCTTCAGTGCCACCTTTGTGTTTGATTGGGTTTGGTATGTATCTACACACTTGCTTTATCACCTATGAAGACTTACCAATCTAATATTTTTACCTTCGCGGTGTTTGCAGATACTACGCCGTCTCGGAAGGATCTATCAAAGTCAGCCAAGTCCTGATTGTTTGAGTATCTGCTAGTGCCGGAACGACAGTCGATACTTATCTGCGTGATAATCTTGTGAGTTCTCACACCCATTCTATCCTAAATCGTTTAGTCAAGCGATATATGCCTGTAAGTTACACCTGGTTTACTGGCCTTTATTAGTGACTCTCTCGACTTCGAGCCTTTCGAGTTTCACAAGCTCGTGAAATTTTACCCTGTGCTCAGGAGCTTGGGAAGAAAACATGGAACCGAGCTTGATGTTTCTTAATAATCTTACCTTTGATTTAGAGTGGTTAAAGAAATGATGCAATGTATAGTTGTTTTGTGAAATAGATTCCCGTTGTTCTTCAGAGGGTTTGATTAGAAAGTTTGTGTTAGGAGGTAGTACCATTCTTATTCAACCCTCCTTGACGGTCAGTAGTGAAAAGATCACCCTCCTCTGAGAAGGAAGATGACCTGGCTTCTGTTTACGTTCTACGTACCCTCGGTTAAGCTCTCTTATCGGAGTTTAGGGCCAGCTATTCCGGCGGCCACCACTTCCCCCACCCCGTCCTCCGGACGGTCCGGACGACTGTGCCCTCGCAGCGGAGTTGCGGGTTCATCGATTCCGGTGCGGGGGTCCGTCCGGTGCCAAGGCCCCGTCGTCCGTCCGATGCGAGCGCCACCGCTGATCGCATCCCGCCTCGCGCTGCCAATTTTTATGAGTATCCGTTATTCGTCTAGCATCCTCAGCCTAGGCCTAGCGAGGTGGTCGCCCATTATGGGATGTGTATGGGGGCCTGGGGCATCGTATCGCCGCGCCCCGCGGTTCTTGTACCGGACTGTGCCTGCAAGCTACCTCGTAGCGGGCGGGCGGACGGACGGTCTGGATCTGGATGTGACTAGCGGTGGCCCTCGCATCGGACGGTGGTGGCGCCACCTCGTCCACAACCTCCGGACGGAGCCCGGAGTACAAACCTCCCCTCCCCCTCCAACCCACCGGACGGGCCGGGCCGGATGGACCGACTGCCACCACTTCGAATCCAGCGTACGGTCGGCGGATTCTGAGCGTTCTCACCGCCCGCGACACCGGCAGACACCATCCCAAATCTACCGGGTTGTCTTGATGGACGGACGGCCGCCACATCAAACCCAGCGAACGGTCCGGATGGATGGGCGGACAACCAACGACGGAGTCCTCGCGGTGATAGTAACTCCCTTCGACTTCGGAGTCTTCGCGGCGGATAGCACTTGCAACCCAGCGTATGGTCTGGACGGCTCAGATAGATTGATGGATGCTCGCCACCTCGAACTCAGCCAACGGTCCGGATGGATGTATGGCCGCCACCTCGAACGTAGCTAACGGTCCGGATGGATGGATGGTCGCCACCTCAAACTCAGCGGACAGTCCGGATGGATGGATGAGCGCCAGCTCAAACTCAGCGGACGGTCGGGATGGATGAATAGTCGCCACCTCGAACTCAGCGGACGGTCCAGATGGATGCATGAGCGCCACCTCAAACGCAGCGGACGGTCCGGATGGATGTATGAGCGCCACCTCAGACTCAGCGGACGGTCCGGATGGATGGATGGTCGCCAGCTCGAACTCAGCGGACGGTCCAGATGGATGCATGAGCGCCACGTCAAACGCAGCGGACGGTCCGGATGGATGGATGAGCGCCACCTCAAACTGAGCGGACGGTCCGGATGGATGGATGACCGCCAGCTCGAACGCAGCGGACGGTCCGGTAGATGGATGACTGCCAGCTCGAACGTAGCGGACGGTCCGGATGGATGGATGCGCGCCACCTCAGACTCAGCGGACGGTCCGGATGGATGAATAGTCGCCACCTCGAACTCAGCGGACGGTCCAGATGGATGCATGAGCGCCACCTCAAACGCAGCGGACGGTCCGGATGGATGCATGAGCGCCACCTCAAACTCAGCGGACGGTCCGGATGGATGGATGAGCGCCAGCTCAAATTCAGCGGACGGTCGGGATGGATGAATAGTCGCCACCTCGAACTTAGCGGACGGTCCAGATGGATGTATGAGCGCCACCTCAAACGCAGCGGACGGTCCGGATGGATGCATGAGCACCACCTCAGACTCAGCGGACGGTCCGGATGGATGGATGGTCGCCAGCTCGAACGCAGCGGACGGTCCGGATGGATGGATGAGCGCCACCTCAAACTCAGCGGACGGTCTGGATGGATGGTCGCCAGCTCGAACGCAGCGGACGGTCCGGATGGATGGATGAGCGCCACCTCAGACACAGCAGACGGTCCGGATGGATGGTCGCCAGCTCGAACGCAGCGGACGGTCCGGATGGATGGATGAGCGCCTCCTCAGACTCAGCGGACGGTCGGATGGATGGATGATCGCCAGCTCGAACGCAGCGGACGGTCCGGATGGACGGATGGTCGCCACCTCAAACTGAGAGGACGGTCCAGATGGATGGTCGCCACCTCAAACTCAGAAGACGGTCCAGATGGATGGTCGCCAGCTCGAACGCAGCGGATGGTCGGATGGATGGATGATCGCCAGCTCGAACGCAGCGGACGGTCCGGATGGACGGATGGTCGCCACCTCAAACTCAGAGGACGGTCCAGATGGATGGTCGCCACCTCAAACTCAGAGGACGGTCCAGATGGATGGTCGCCAGCTCGAACGGAGCGGACGGTCCGGATGGATGGATGGTCGCCAGCTCGAACGCAGCGGACGGTCCGGATGGATGGATGGTCGCCAGCTCGAACGCAGCGGACGGTCCGGATGGATGGATGGTCGCCAGCTCGAACGTAGCGGACGGTCCGGATGGACGGATGGTCGCCACCTCAAACTCAGAGGACGGTCCAGATGGATGGTCGCCAGCTCGAACGGAGCGGACGGTCCGGATGGATGGATGGTCGCCAGCTCGAACGCAGCGGACGGTCCGGATGGATGGATGGTCGCCAGCTCGAACGTAGCGGACGGTCCGGATGGACGGATGGTCGCCACCTCAAACTCAGAGGACGGTCCAGATGGATGGTCGCCAACTCGAACGAAGCGGACGGTCCGGATGGATGGATGGTCGCCAGCTCGAACGAAGCGGACGGTCCGGATGGATGGATTAGCGCCACCTCAAACTCAGCGGACGGTCCGGATGGATGGATGGTCGCCAGCTCGAACGCCGCGGACGGTCCAGATGGATGGATTAGCGCCACCTCAAACTCAGCGGACGGTCCGGATGGATGGATGGTCGCCAGCTCGAACGCAGCAGACGGTCCAGATGGATGGATGAGCGCCACCTCAGACCCAGCGGACGGTCCGGATGGTTGGATGGTCGCCACCTCCAACTCAGAGGACGGTCCAGATGGTTGGATGAGCGCCACCTGAGACTCAGCGGACGGTCCGGATGGATGGATGGTCCCCACCTCAAACTGAGAGGACGGTCCAGACGGTTAGGTGAGCGCCACCTCAAACTCAGCGGACGGTCCGGATGGATGGATGAGCGCCACCTCAGACTCAGCGGACGGTCCGGATGGATGGTCGCCAGCTCGAACGCAGCGGACGGTCCGGATGGATGGATGGTTGCCAGATTGAACGCAGCGAACGGTCCGGATGTTACGGACGACGGAAGCGTCGCAGCGCAGCCGACTCCCTCCGTAAACTACGGAAAATAAAACAATAAGTCTAAGGCTTAACGGAATGGAGGGTATAAATACCTCGTTAGCAGAGCCTCTAATGGAATTGTGACAGTAAGGGCAGTGCATCGAGCTCTGCCTATGCTGTCACCATTCCATCCTTTTGGCCTTTCTGGCCGTAAGTTGATACTTCCGGTAAATTTCCGTAAACGGACAAATCGGACGAGCCGGATGGACGGATTGCCATGACGGACGGGCCGGATGGGCGGATCGCCACCACTTCGAACGCAGCGGACGGTAAGGACGGACGTCGGAGCGTTCCCACCGCCATCGACACCGGGGGTCACCACCTCAAACCAACTGGACGGTCCTGATGGACGGGTGGCCACCACCTCTCACCTACCGGATGGTGTGGACGGTCTGGACGGACAGACTGTCACCGCCTCAGACTCACCAACAGCCCGGATCGACGGATGGTTACCATCTCAAGCCCAGCGGACGGTGCGGATGGACGGACGGTTCGTTCCGTCATCCGTTGAACGGTGTTGTGTGGGTGGCCCGAGTGGGAAGGATGAGCAGCAGGAGGAGAGTAAGAGGAGGGAGGGAGCGGAAAGAAGATTTTAGGCAGGACGGGGAGAGGCATTATCTGTGCAACAAATCTTTTTATCCCACATAACTTATTTTTGGATTAACGCAAAATTTAAAACAAATTATATTCTAAACATACAAAAGTATACATTACATGTCTAATCTAAGACATTGTTTACATATTATAAATTCTAATAATAAGTACAATCACTCAACGTAACGTGACAATATTTGCACAGAAAAAGACCTAAAAAAAAAATGTAACTTAAATCTAAACCAAAATCTACATTTGAATTGTAAATAAATTGCATTTACCTTCAAAACACCATTGCAACACGTAAAACCACTCGTTGAAATGTGAAATATGAAAATGTAGACGAAAAATTAATAACTGTTGCAGAACGTGAAAATCTAATGAGAGATCGTTTAAAACACAAAATAATTGACAATGAAGGAAACCAGGATAAACCACAATTGACGTGTGAAGTCTTCAGGAAAAGATATACAGCATATGTGTAAATTGAAATGATCTCAGCTCAGGGAAATGAAATGCATATACTTATATCCACTACAAGATTAAATCAACTTTAAAATTATATAAGTAATTAATTCGTATCACATTCACTAGATTAAAAAATCAATATATGTGCATGCGGTAATGAAAATATTTTAGCACTTGATGATGTTATAAATAAAGTTTGACATATGATACTAAATCAAACACTGAAATTTGCATTTGTGGGCATGTCATGTTTCTATGAATCTTCAACATTGAAAGCAATCAAGTATTCACCCTTTAATCTATGTTTGGACTGAACTGCTCATCCAATACAATTTAATCTAAGCAGAGCAGAAGTAGTATAAAATTTACAATAGTATGATTTGAATACTAATATTATGACATCAATCTAGTCAAGAAATCTCGTAGGTGAAGATAGAATACCCATGAGATGCAGGTTTGCATCAGAGAAAAATATGAACTCTGAATTACTCTCACAGTCATGTCTTACTCATTCATATACAATATGTTTCTAAAATCTCAAACTTTTGTAATCAATCTACTTTTTTAAAATTCAAAATGTACATACCTGAAATACTTTGACATATTGTGAGAAAAAACCTTCAACTTTCAGGAGATAAAATAACTTTATTTTGAAAAAAATTTCTACTCTTAATATCTGTAGTTGCAATATAAATGGAATTTTGCTTTAAAACTTTCTTTACATTAAGTTATTATTTTCAAATATTTTTGACTTAATAATTTTTTCTGATTGCTTCATTATTTTACTCCTAAGCAAACTGGTGTAATATGAAGTCCTTGAGATATTTTTTGATCATTTGAGCTTTTACACCAAAAAAAATTTGAGGTTATATCTTATGTGCTTCTTACTTTAGATTAGAAAATTTGACAAACAAACTCCTGAAAATATTTTATGAGTATGAGCAAAATCAAGCAAAGCAATATAGAAATCAAAATCATATTCATTGCAGATTTATAACAATTCTTATTTTGGAGTTGAAAACACATTCTGTTAATGAAGAGTACAAATTTCAAATATTATATTTATGTTGAATATTAAATCTTGAATATTCAAAATTATATATCGCCATCAGATTTGCTTTATTCATTTTTTAGTAAGACCATAAAAATGTATGCTTCGTATTGTTAATATAGCATCAAAGATGCTACATCAGACACTACATCTCAACATTTGTTTCAGTCAAGAAATTACATGCTTCCTTCACGTTACTCATGCATTATTGTACACATTGTAATCAAAGACTCGACGAAAATTGTTGAATGCTTATGATTATTTTTCCAAAGAATATAATATTTAAACAAGAAAAATAAATAAATAAATATCTGACAATGAAAATTAATATAAACATTTTTTTACATAAGATAAACTGTAAGTAATTTTCATGTTTAAATTTAATAAAATAAAACTAAAAATACTTGATAATAATTTAAAACAACATATAAAAATTATCATGAATTTTTTATTTTATTAATAATATATATAAAATCACAGTATAAAATCGAATGTTTAAAATATAATCAGAATATATATATACGAAAAATCATTGCAAGCATTAAAGAGAGTAAACCATAATTAAAAAAAACAATGACTTTGTAAAAAATTTGTGTAAGATTTCAAAACCTAAATAGTCCATTTTTTTCTTATAAAATTAAAAGAAATTTTGAATTTAATATATATATTGAATTTTTTATTAAATTTTGTGAAGTTATTTTTTTTTCAGATTATAATTTAAAATAGTGACACAAGAAAATAAATAATTTTCATGTTAAAAATATCCAATCAACTCTAGAAATGAAAAAATACATGGATTTTTATCATATGTAAATGTTCAATAATTCAACTCTTTGAACATCACACTTATTTAGCCATTAATTGAGACATAACTTTGTTTAAAAATTAACTTTATTATTTCATGATAAAATTTGGGGATTTATACTAAAATAAAATATATTCATCTATATCAAAAAGTACAAATTGTTAATTATTCTAACTTAAATTGTCCATGATCTATTATTAAGGATACTAATTAAAATAACATTGATTATTTTGTGAATTGTTTTAGTAGTGTAATATATTTTTGCAATCATGACACATGAAATATGTGATTTTCATATGTGATGAAATTTCTAACTTGTATGATATTTTTATCAACACGTTTTAATATCACAAAAATACAAATGAATCAAGGGTTAAACTTTTGTGTTATAAAAAGAGACAAATTTGTTTTAAGTTGATTAACCTTTATCATTAATTTGCTTTACTTTCTTTGTCGATTTCGACCTATCAACAAAACTTTTTTGCTCGATTTAGTATTATGTGAATATATTTCATAAACTGTTGATCATGGCTACTTTGATTGAGAACTAATTTTCTTTCAAAAATTTCATCAGACTTTATGCAATAATGACATGAATATTGTACATAACGTAAACTGAAAACACAATACTTGTTACATTTACAAAATTGTAGTATGAACATTCCACAAAGATCAAAAAAGAGTAACATACATTTTGTTATATTCCACAATTCTATTAGATTTTTTATTTCATTATTATTTTGAAAATATAAGCTGCTAGTATTGATAATTTTGTTTTTATAAAACTAAATAAGACTTTCTAAAATAAACTTGTAAAATGATTGACTATGTTAGTAATAAAGACTTCGTTCAATTCGTGATTTACAAACACGACATCGAAGTACAATTGAGTAAGTTGTGGACCCGTCATTGTTTTAGTGAGTGGTTTGATGTGGATCATATTGCTTGCAACTCGTTCATTCGTCATTGCAGTTGCGGACTCCCACTACCTTTTTACTAGTACTGCTCTTTTGATCTTATTTATATTACTCACTAACTCTACATAGAACCCTGCTTCCTTCTCCACAACATACTTCTCTCTCTTCCTATCTAGATGTTACATTATAATGCATGAAGTCGGGGAAGGAAACAATTGACTTCCTCAATTACTCCTCCGATGACTTCTTCTCTGCTTCGGGTCGTACCTCTTCCACATGTGGTGGGGGCGATGGAATCTCGGGGGCGTCTGACACTGTCCCACCAACTTGTGCAACTACCTGTTTGAGTATCTACTCACTCACTTTGAGTTCCTTTACTAGCTCTTCACTTGTCTTCGCCTGAGACACTTTCTCATTCTCCATCGTTCTCATCTACTCCGAAGATGGAAAACTTGGACTAACTGTCGCCGTCCGCTCCTCCGAGGTGGCTCTTCGGGTTGGACATTGTACTCCTCGTCTGTGTCCTCGCTCGACTCAATTGCCAACACTTCCTACTACTTCAAAAATAGCTTCTTCTCATCCTTCGTCAATAACCTCATACCTCGATAGAAATTTACTAAGTATGAGGTTATGTGATTAATCAAACCTCCTTTCCATCGGGTGCTGACGTTGATCCAAATTAGGTCTTTGAAGATCTTCGCTAAATGAAATTGCTTTCTCTTCAATGGGCGTTCGAAGAAGCCGACTTGTTATGCGGAGATGTAGGTCGTGTGTTGCGGTCGCAGAATATGCATGATTTTCAACGCAATCGCACGCCTCTTTAGGTCCTTGTAATCTGCCGTCTTCCACCCATTTGTCTTCAACCTCGCGTTCTTGAAGAGAGTAGCAAATGTAAATTCTTCCGCGCGCTTAATGTTAACACTGTCCTTCTTGAACTTGTAATCTCCGTTTGTCCGTGCACACAGTAATAGCACCTTCCTCTAGTGATCGATTGTCCACAGCATTGGATTGCCCTAGAGATCATCCCCCCTTGTTATCAATCATCTCCTTGTAGATGGTCGCTGAGACGCAATTTTAATCCCATAGCAAGAAATCCATATGTAGCTCGACGAGCTCTCGCCGATAGGATCGCAACTCCTTGTAGAGCACTTTCAGCGGAACCAATTTCCGCACCTTAGCTGTAGTGGGTGGCGTCATATCTCCAGTGGCGTTTTCGCTGCTATCAAAGTCGATGGATTGCAATTTCTCTCTCTTTCTCTCGATGTCGCAATGTCGGCGCGAATGTGTTTGTTTCGTGCCCTTACCGTCAACACCCTAACGTTTCCCACATGCGCACAAATTGCTACTCTCAACGGGTGCAGAACTTGACCATCCCTTCGCAAATTCAAATTGGAATTCATCGTCTTTGCCAAAGGTCCGATTATTGCATCATCAAAAATGGCTGCGCCGATGGTCTGAAGGTCTTCGGCCCAAGGCAGATTTCATTTTACTTCTACTAACTTACTAAATCTCCAGTAATTCTCCAAACTTCTATAACTAAGTACTCATATGTGTACGCCCTACCGCAAATATGTTTAAGTTTTTGTCATTCATGCAAAAATAAAAAAAACTAAGCACCACAATACCCCGCCAATCGTTGGTATCTTTTGAATGTGATTGTCCTTGGATCACAATATGTGCAATTACATAAATGGATTGACGTGATGATCTAAGAACATTTCATATTCCACTTTGTTAGTCAAGTGTACACTTATAATCTTTTTGTAAGTGATAGATTTGTTATCACAATCAAGATAAATTATCGATAGTATCTAGTAGGAAGGAGTCAATGAGTTCAGA